CTAGTATAACAATATTAAAGTATTTTAAGATATAATGCAAACTTTTGTACAATTATTGCAGTAAATTACCTCTGACGCCTAAGCTTTCAATAAAAAAAAAACAAAAAAAAATAAGGATACTGAAATTATTATTTTATGTTATGTTTATAGGCTATAGATAACAACGTATACTGTATATAAGCATATCCTGCTTCTCTATTATAAACTATATTATCTTTAGCACAAAATGTGTAATCACTAGAAAACTACTCGTTTGAATTTTGATTTCAATACATCGAAATTCTCAACAAAATTATCCACTAAATAATTTACAGTAAAAAAGTGGGGTTCCCCTTTGAAAAATAAAAGTTTGTATCGCTACAACAAGACACTCCTGAAGTGGTAAAAAAAATCTCAAGAATATAAAAATATGGTCCTTGAGTATATTTAAAGATTCCGAAAATCAGATTATGTAAGACTTCATTATTAAAGAAAAAAGGGGGTGAGCATACTTGTTGGATCACCTTGTATTGTAACATTATAACATAAATAAATAATACGAGTAAGTTGCTTCATTAACCTATAGAGTAAAATATTTTTTATACATTTCAAAAAGATAACACGGCGTTCTAGGTAGTTAATTTAGCTACATCAAAGTTGCCAGTCCACATTGTAATATCTGATATTTAAGTTACATATTATTCTATTGTGGTTTGGTATAGTACCTACATCAAAGTATTATACCAATACACCTCGATGGAAATCACTAAGATTAGTTTATAATAATATATATCTATGATAAATAAATGCAATTTTAATGCGTGTACACGGGAAGTAGCAATCAATATTATTTTATTTCTTATACTATAATAAGATATACTTATCTGGTAGGTACCTATTATATATTTATATAAAATGTAAATATTATATTATTTATGGCACTAATTATATGTATATCTACTACGTTGATATAATGGTAAATTCAAGTAACTTTTAACAATATAAGTTAATCGGTCGACTTCCTCCGAAATGATAGTACAACGTAAATACAAATTGGTCCTTGTAAGGTAATTAGTTAATAAGAAGTAAAATCTTTTTAAGTTGTGTAAAGGTGTTGGCCAATTATGCAACGACTTATAGTCCTGCCAGGATGAAGTTATGTTTTTATGATTTACGTACGCTTTTATACATTTTAAAAATCGATCGTCAAACATTTAATGCCTACCCAAACTTGTTTCAACTTTGCGTTGTTATTTATAAATTATTTTCGTTCCACTTCATAAAATATGATTATTTTACGATACGGTGAGACGTCTTTGTCAGTGCGATCGGTTGTATATAAATAATATTATTACGCGTGTACGACATAATAATAATAATGCGTATAATACTATTATATACATAAGACGTTCGCGTGCCACCGTATCGCGTTCACCTAGACCATTATCGTACTTCGGGACCGATTACAATGACGCGTGGGATATTATATTATTATTATTATTACGATGTACAAGGTGATTCGAAAAACATACTCACCGTCATCTTTTTTTCATCAGTAAAACAATTAATTAAGATTTTTGGAATTTTTAAATAATATACTCAAGGACCTTATTATATCTTTATTTATTTAGATTTGTATACCAATTAAGGCCTCTACAGGTGACACAAACTTTTATTTTTGACAAATAAAAACCAGCCTTTTATATTGTGAATTGTTCGACAAATTATTATTTTGAGTGGTTGGCATATTTAAATAAAAATACAAACGAGTAGTTTCTGAGTTATATTTAAAAAAAATATATGTACCAAGAATAATTCAATAATTGTCATTAAAATGGTTTGAAAAAAATATAAAACATATTATATGTTTATGATACCACATTGGTATCGAATCTATAGTATATGTATTTTACTCAGACAATTCTAATAAGCTATAAAACGTCGATAGATTAATATTAATTACTATAATTTATTCAAGCAATCATATCTTTAAATCATACCTTTTCTTCAAAATTTTTACCATAAACCAGCTATTATCATTACTTATTGGTACACTAAGTCAAAAACTCAAAAACGTATTGTTCTAATTTCAAAAAAGATATACATCAATATTTTCGATAGTTTGATAGTCTTCTGATGAAAAATTCATAGGAAAAAAGGAGATTCTCATTTGAAAAAAAAATTTGGCAGTTAATACCACCAAAAGATACTCTTTAAATGGTATACTTAAGACGAATCTAAGTATTTAAAAATATCGTCCTAATGGATGATGTAATGATGTATACTTGAAAATCTAAAACAGCAGATTATGAATAAATTCAATATCAAAGGAAAAATGGAGGTGAGCGTGCTTGGTGAATCACCCTATATTGTGTACCTTCTGCTGCTCTGTCCACGACGTTTGTCCGTTTAAGTGTCCCTGCAGACGCGTCTTTTGTTCCCTTATTCCAGTTCGTCCTATTGGCGTAGCATACGACATACTTTTTGCTATTATTTTTGACATGTTGTATAGTATTATTATGCCGTAGATCCGATGGTGCTCGACGGCGGCGATGGTTTATAAATGTCATCGCAACGTCGTCTTCGACCTAATTTTTCGTTGACGTTGATAGTACTTTCAACTTTGACACATAATATGCGCATTTATAATACGTGTAACCTACCTGTATAACATAATATTATGCGTACGTGAATAAAAGACCATATTATAATAATATAGGTAAACAATAAACACTGTACATACTAAAATGAATCTTGGGTTACACAAATCATATACCATATTATTATAATGCAGTGCGTGGGTACATTAATTTTGATTTCAAAACGTAATGTAGACTTCTCCGATCATAATCACTCATATTTTTTTAGTGCAGTCAAATAGGATTATATTATGATTATTGCTTAATAATGTAATATTATGATTGATACTTGCTATATTATATACCATTTGAATTATTAATATTTATAAATTTAAATGAAGTTTTCAAAATATTAGGTCATACACCTTGACTACAGATGCGGATTTTTTAAATTTTAAAAATTTATAAAAATCTATTTTATTAATACTTATTTCAATGCTAAGATAATTATTTATGTAGTATAAGACTATAACACTGTATGTGTTATATCATATATAAGAAATCTAATCTAAATTTAAAGTTTCATAAATATTTTAATCACATACAAATTAATTTTGCTTTCAAATAATCAATAGTTCTTAAAAATTTAATTATACATACTTGTACCAATTTTTTCGAATGATAACGTACAAAAGTAAAAATGAAAATTATTAGTTTATAGTTGTTATTATGAAATTGGTTTTTTATGGCATATTTTTGAAATTTTTGTTGGATTTACTTATTTAGATCAAATACGATGATACAATACAAATTAATAGTGCCAAGTATTCCTAAGGGTATTCTATTAACTAGTCCTAAGTTTTCTATTAAAACTGCAAAATGACTCTGACTGCAAAAATATGTTTGATTCTGGTATGAACCTTGAGGAATTTTGGTGCAGAAGGGCAACATTACATATTCAACTACGGGAAATTGCCTTACGTTATTTAGTAGTATTTTCAACTACGTATTTGTGTGAACAAGGATTTTCCAGTCTACTTGTGATCAAAAATAAACAGAGAAATCGCTTGGACGTAAGTGACGACATGCGTTTAGCCATTAGCAACATTCATCCGAGAATTGAAAAACTGGTCAAAGAAATGCAGCAACAAAAATCACACTAAGTAAATTATTAGTAAAGTTTAATAATTAAATAATTATATATAATAGTACAGTAAAATAATAAAAAATTTTTAATAAATTTTGTGTATTCTTGTTAATGAGCAAAAAAAAAAAAAGGTCTTCCTAGTTTGTGTAAAATTGAGGTGGTCCGCGACCTATAAAATATTGTGGAAGTGGTCCGTGGTGGTAAAAAGGTTGGGAAACACTGCTTTACAGGATGTAATGCCATGCAAAAACAATATTACACAGCGTAATAAATAATACAATATTATAACTATTTTATTATGTACAAAGAATACCTATAAAGGATATATTATTATAGGTACATTGGTTATGATGGATATTATTGATTGACAATTATAGGCAATAAAAATCTAAACAAATACAATATGTACATGTTTCAGTATAATAACAGTGGGTGTATCAATTGTATATAAATTATGTAACTATAAGCGTAAAGAAAATATAGAAGTATTTTTTTCGGAATTATTAAAATATGGGGAGAAATATGTTCATTTTTTAAAAATCAAATTACTCACAATTCTAAAAAATAAAAATAATTTAAAATGTATTGAAAAAAAATTCAATATTCAAAAATTGTTCAACATATTTTGTAGAACAGATTTTTAATTATTATGTTTTATTTAGTATTCAATGATTTACAATTACACTGTTTTTTTCTCATTACTTTCTTGTACTTTGGGTATATTCGCATGTACCGAAATCATTATCGGATAATCTTTTATTTAAACTCAATATACTGATATTACATATTACGAGTATATAGCCGTACATAGGTATAAGGTATTAGAAATTAAATATAAAAGATTTTGTTTTAAATTTAAACAAATTTTAAATTCAGGATAAAATTTAACATTGACAAAATATAACACACATATTATATTGGTATATCTATTTGGTATCATCATTTGTATGTTGTTGATTTGTATTAGGTTTTATTATACTAATTATAATAACATATTTCCCAAGTTTTTTTTATATGATGTGCCATGGCTATAATTATTTGTTTTAGAAACTCATCACAAAATGTATTTATACATTTTTTTTAATTGACGGGGATTATATAAATGTAATTGTAAAACGCATAAATTAAGCGAATTGTGGTAACATAAACAATATACATATTATAAATTATAATATTATGTACAAATTATACATTCACTTAAACTTAATTCATGCAAAAGATTTATAACTACAGTACTATTTAGTTTAGTGCCAACAAATGGTTTCTATGGCTACGTATAATATGGTCAATATGTATAAGACTATTGACCCCATATGTATGCAGTCTTAAGGAGGAACAGTATCGTGTTTCGTATGTGCGTCATTATTGTTTTATTTTGTGGCCAGATAAACACTGTGTCTCGCATGATCTTTATTATTTATTCATTAGTTAAATGATGGTAGTGAGGTCGGTATCATTGGTCGAGTTAAAAAAACAACAATGGGCAAAAGAAAAAGGTAGGTAAAATATTTATTAAATCATTGTGCTAACATGGGATTATTTTTAAATTTTTAAAAATTTTTTTAATTATAACCACTTTTTTTAGAAGAGCTGGTAAAATTAAACAGTTACTGGAGAAATCAAAACACGCCAATCGTTTTTAATGATCAGAGGTATTCCAATTTCCAATAAATTATTTTATGATCATGGCATCTTACTAAATATTTTTTTTTCCATTACAGGGATCATGTCATATATCCAGAAATACGTTCAAATGACCTTGATCGCCTAGCCGCATACAAAGATTTACAAACACAAAAAATTTTAAGTTTTCCTCCGATTTCTCATGATAATCAAAAACAAAACTTACACAACGTAAGATAATACACGTTTAGTAATTTATATGACCTTAGCTTTAATACATTTTTTAAATGTTCATTATTATTTATTATTCATTATGTACTTGACACATAATTTATTTTAATCTTATTATGTACAGAATACTTACACTAATAAAATTGAAAAAGATCTAAACATTGATGCTGGAGTGATGGATGATTCTAAACCAAAAAGCACTCATACTATGTAAGTAAAAAATAATGCACCTAAAGGCTAAAATATTAAGACAATTTTGTATTTTGAATTAATAAAAATGTTACATTAAAATAAAAGATTAAATCGGACATACACAATATCAAAAGAAAACAATACTAATGAAGGAGGAGGGACACCAGAAAGACAAAAGTGGGATAAGCAATATAATGTTTTAAATGCTGGATTAAATCCTCCAAACTTCAATTCAAATGAGAGAAAATATTTAAGAAATGAAAGAAACGAGACGCCAAGTTGGGTAGAACATTCATCGGAAAACCCGTAAGTAATAAGTAGATTTTAATAAATCGAAAGTTATAAGACATGTAATATATTTATGAAGACTAAATATATATTGGGTATAATTTATACTTAAAATAGTTCTGCAACCAACGAAATTGGTAAAACACAATTCCAAGACACTCATAAACCTCCAGATTTTGGAGGTAGCTGTGACACTTTAAATTCATTAGATTCAAACAACGTTTGTAACAGGTGAAATATATCTTACTACCTACTACATAACAAGACATTTGATTGCTTGTACTAAAATAAATATATTCGACGAATATGACGTATTAATTATTTTTTTTTTTTATAAATACCATTAATATTCGGTACCTATATTATACATTTAAAAATTAAATGGTTTATTTTTTATTGCCATGTATGTGCTAGGACTTACTTACTAGGGCAAAATATTCCATTGACCACCGAAGAAATAGCTGCAAGAGAAGTTAAAAGGCAAAAAGCAATGGAACTTCAAGAAGCTATAAAACAACAGGTGAACTTGCCTAGAGCTTATAATTTGTAATGACTATCTATTAATAAATTAATTCTCATAATAGTTAAAAGAAAGACAATTAAAAAAAAAAGAAGAACTCGAAAAGAAAAAGCAGGACGATCTGATTGAAGAACGACGTATACAAAGGCAACAAGAAATTGAAAAAAAACGATTAGAAGACGAATTGAAACGACAAAGAGAAAAAGAAGTAAGTCGACAAATTATAATGTATACAATAATTATTATAATGCAAAACTATCATTGAGAGCGATAAAATATTGTTGTAATGAGCGTATTTTATCCAAATAGTTGTGTGATGAACGTAAAGCGAAAGCTATGCAAGAAGTTTTGGAGAATGCACAAAAACAAGCAAAGGAGGACAAATCCAAACACATGCAAAAAAAACGACAAAATCAGGAAGAAGTCAAAGAACAAATTTCCACAGAACCTGTAGTGGTAGTTAGTAATTGCAGTGAACCTAAACTTGAACCTAAAGTTTGCCTAGAACCAAAGGCACAACCAAACGCACCAAATCCAGTAGAGATTAAAGAGATCCCTAAGTTGCCGGACGTCGACGTAACACTTCAAACTTCACTCTCTCCTCTAAACCGCCAAAAATTGTTGACACCGAGCAAATTTCGGAGTCAGACTACTAGTGTAGCAATCCAAACTGATATTTTAAAGTAAATCTAAAACATAAATTTAACAAAACACTGTTTTTAGACTGGCAAGTCTTGGGAAATTACTTTTGTTTCAGGAAACCTGTGAAAACTTCGGTTAGTAATGTATATCAAAAATCTATAGATTTGGACCAAAGGCCAAAGTGGGGAGTGAACAGACCAGAAGTACAGTATGTCAAACAAAGTGCCAAAGATCCAAATTACCAGTTGAAACTGAGACAAAAATCACCGTGGGCCAGACGGATAAGTAATGCAAATTCAGCAAAAAGTCAATCACCAAACTTAAATGGACGAGCCGGGTATACAATTTTAAAATGTTTACCTTTAAAATAGTAAAATGTATTAGGCCATTAGGTATGTTTGTTCATATGGTCGTGTATATTATTTAAATGTATAGCTTAACGTTTCCGGATAATTATTCAAAAAAGACGTTTGCATACGGCCGGCCAAATTTTGCAGGTGTGTTGTGTGGAAAATGGCACCTACTTATTATTTGGATTATTATGTACTAAAATACACTTCACATTATCATAAAATGTTGCAGAAATGAAAAACAGTAAAAGTGTTCCAAATAAAACTCCTTCGTTGCCAGAAAGCATATCGGTTAAGGATGTGTTATACCAATTATCATCGTTAAGAAAAGTAAGAGTATACACCATACAGTATATATAATCCATAAGAATGAATAAATATATTGTTATTATAGTAGGTACCTATATACAACATTCTAATAAATAATAATAGTATAAGCTTATCGATTGGTAATGCGTAAACTGTATTTAGGTTTAAAACACCGTCGATAATTATTTATATTTTAATTAAATATATAGGCACACGAAAAACATTAATTGCAGTTGGATTGCATTCAGAACCTCTCTATTTTATTCATCGTAAAACGTTATCATATATAATATATAAAATATTATTTTATTATTATATTTAGCTATTAAACAGATGGTTGTTCGTGAGAAACCTTAAAGCTATATATTGTTGGTAGCTTATTAATAATTGTTAATTATCATTTTATTTGTTTGCATACAGGCACTAGAAACCAAACGAAAACATTGGAAAAGTGTTATTGCTGACGAATCACCATCATCAGATTCTTCATGATTATTTAATATTACTTTTATAAATCATTAATATTACCTCAATCCTAGGACTATTAGAACTACAGATAGCAGTAAAATAAAATATAACCGACAAACACTAACTTTAAATATTAAGCAATATTAATAACATTATTTTTCTCTACAGTTTCAATATTTTCAAATAAAATGCATGGAAGATGCATTGATACATTATTTCAAAGGTACCTACGTAACCAAACTTAAAAGTTAAAACTTTAAAATTATTTTTAGTTATATTTTTTCAATATAACTTGTTTTCTTGTTGAAAAAATTTTGATTTTGTTAAATTGCTTATATGTACAAAGTATAATTATTGTTCTATGTTAAAATGTAATTCTATTATATAAACAATTATTATAATTTTAACTTTTTAAATAAACAACTTTCGACTGTTGTTTTTTAATTGTTTAATTGTATAATTATGTCGTATGTGTACCTATCTAAATATTAATAATCGTTATTAAATATTTAACCTACATAAAAATACGACTTATACGTTGTATTATTATAAGCTGCTATAGTAAAAGCATGAAAAATTGTGAAATTTTAAGTTCAATTAAAAATTAAGAACGTAATTTACCACAGAAATTTATTTATAAAATTGGTTAAGTTCTAAAATGTATTTGCGAAATAAAATTTAAAATTTTTAATGTTATATAAAAGGTAGGTACCTACCTATACAAATTATATGTACTATTTTATTGAATTTTATTCTATTATATTAATATATTACCATATCATACCTATATATCATCTATAATAATTAAACATAGATATTAATCGTATACTGTTAGAAATAAATTACATTTGTAACATTGTAACATGTTATATTTATTAATTAGTTATTTAAAAAAATTTAGTTTGTAATCAAACAAAATCATAAAAATAACTTGAAGGCCAAAATGTTGTATCATAAATTTTTTTGTACATATATACTTATGGAGTTACATTATATACCTAAAAGTTCCATGTAATTATTATTTATTATACACACACATAGTTATAATATAGGTATTTCTAAATATTTAACTTTAAACTAAATTTTATGTCAATAAGAATATAGTTATTACTTATTTTTCTCAGGCTTTTATAGGTGTTTAGTACCGAAAATTTACATTAATAACAATTAATTTTAAAAAATGAAAACGATTTAAACATTTATACACAAAAAAATACTATTTACATTAACAGTATTAGTTGCAAAATATGTCAAACAACATAAATACATAATTTGTAATTTCTAGGTTCATATACTAAAATATATTGTTTTGAGTGTATGAGACTATTTACATTTTGTTTATGTATAAAAGATTAAAAAAACATATTTTCGCATGAGACAGTTAGAAACACACTTATGTATGATGCATATTTTAGTCCTATAGTGTTATTTTACCTACTTGATTTAATTGTTGTTGTACAATTATTGATGAAAAAAATCGGTTAAATTGACATAAGTTTATATGCTATTTTAATAATACATAAACGGTAATTAAATCAGTATACAATTTTGAGTCTATAGAAATTGGGGGTATATAGGTAATGCTTACCTATCCGGCATTAAACAAATGTAGAATTTAAATTTCAAAAACGTCGCCCATTTCGTATATGTAATATATTTAATAAAGCCAATTCTAAATTTGTTGGTCGTAAATTATTTAAGTACTTCTTTAATGATCGATTTGATAAGTACTACCTGTATATTATACTAATTTATTCATATTTTTTGTTAACAGGTCAATTACTCGATGCTTAAAAAATTATAACATTTATGGATTTTATTAAAACAATTACAAGAAAATGGCTTCCCAAATTGAAGAGTTTCTTGCTAAAAAGAAAGAACAAACTACACTTTTGGATTTACATAACTGTACTGCCAATTCAAAGGAAGAATTAAGAAAACTCGTGGAAAAAGTGCCCGAATTCAAGATAAAACCAGAAAAAGTAATTTTTAAATTTTAATTATCTGCTACCTACTTTAAAGCGATACCATATTAAAATATATTAATATCAATACTTGCCATACATTATATCATACTACCTAAATCATTGATATAATAATGTATATCATGTATAGATAAGCCTCAAGTGCTATTAATAATTGCAATTTTTTTAAAAAATCTTTGAAACTTGAAATAATTATACATTAATTTAAACTATGAGGTTAAAACTATAAACAGGTTAACAACCATAACACCTACAATTTTGTTTCATCTTATAATATTTCTATTTTAAGTGGATCTTATATAAATATTAATAATTTAATACTGTACTAACGTCCTACTTAAATATATTCGATATTGCATAACCACTTTCTAATCAAATACAATATAATTATTTCAATTATAGTTTTAGGTACCAACATAATTATCTTCATATTTATCAAAAAGTACTGAATATTAGGTTTTATTTTTGAAATACCTAGTACCAGTAATTTGATACGTCATAATATGTTAAAAACTACACAATGTTATCAAATTAATTTATAAGAATATTTTTTTCGATTTTTTTTTTTAGAAACTGGGCGATATTAAGATAAGAGAAAAAAAATTCAAATTTAAACTACCTAAGAAAGAAAGTAAAAAATCATTTCCATTTGCTGAGCCAACTCCGTCAGAAATGAAAGGAGTTTCATTAGACGAGTTGTACTCGGTAAACATCCCATGGAAAATGCTTACTTCTCTTCGCCCAAAATCAAAAATCGATGAAGAATATTTTTCGAGGTAACGTTTTAAAAACAAATGTTCGCATTTTGTCACAAGGAATATTTTTACCTATTAGGTATTTAATATCACATTTTATATGATTACGTTTTCAATGTCAATAATAAAATATATATTTGAGAGGAGGTAGGTATGGTCTTCACTCTTAAAACAATTCAACAGTTACATTTATAAGGAACTTATAAATCTTAAAACAATAAAAAGGTACCTACTCTGCAATAAGTTTATTCATAATTTAAACAACAATATTAAACTCCAAGTATCGATAACTTTTTTATTAGTTAGCATACTTTTGTAGGTATAGGTAGGGCTACTGTGGAAAAAACGTGATGAAAAATAAAAAAAATCCAAAGTGTTATGCACGAGGTTACATTTTCATGGCAGTTTTACATTAAATCAGAGTTATATAATAACTAATCAACTAAGTAAACAAACTATTATTATTTATTATATAGACTTTAGGCATTAGGCTTATAGATTGAAATTTGGTAATTACAGATAGGTTAAAATTGAAAATTGTTAACCCTATAAAAATGGAAGTAATCTAGTAGGTAATAAACTAATAACTAATAAGCTATATTTGCAAACTAATACAAATATCGACAGTTAGATTTTATTCTTATGCGGCTGTCGGGCTGACGGACTGAACATTGAAATATTGTCCTTAGAAAACCGATATGTGGTACAGTACTGTTTATAGCTTCTACCAGGCTACGTACACTGGTGTCTACTATCTAACCTTCAAATACCTATACTTATACCTATTTTTTATGGATAAATTGTTGTTTTTTATATTGTAGACAAGTGGAACTAGGTACGGCCACGCTTAAGACCAGGAACGCGGAAAAAAGAACCCCTCGCGATAGTTTTCTGCGGAAAAAGAAAAATGCGTCCGGAGGAGTGGAGTCGAAGTTTTTGTCGTGCAAAGAGTGCGGCATCGAATTCTGTACGGGCGAGAGCTGTAAGATATTCGACTACGATTCGTTCAAACGGGTTGCGGTGTCGGCCGTACAGACGACCACAGAACAGACGCAAGAGCCCGCTTTCCAGGAAAAGAAGTTGTCGAAAAAGAAAAATGCTAGTAAAGGACTTAAAGCGAAATCGCGAGGGCCAGTGGTTAACGTCAAAAACGCCCAGGTAAAGAAAAACGGAGAGAGAATTATTATCGGGGTGAACACAAAAAAAAAAAATTCTATCGCTGTTCCTGAAAAGTTAATCACCGACAAGTCCAACGAGAATGGCAAGACAATTATAAAGAATAAATTATATTCATCGAAAGCTGATACAAAAGTAACAAAGGAGAATTCAATTAAAAAAACACGAATTGTCGAAAACAAAAAGTCGTAAAATACCTATATTATATTACACAAACAATGAATACTGAATAGGTACTTTTTTTACATATTTCTTTATAATAATTATTATTATACGATATTATATTATTCTGGGATAGGTACCTACTATTGTTATTTGTATTTTTACCAATGATTTTCAATTTTTTTTCATGAACACTATAATAAGTCATCATCAACATTATTTGCATATTTTTATACTTTATTATCTACAAAATAAATGAATTATTTAGTTGGTACATTTTGATCTATAAAATTGAAGCACTGTTCGTTGGCAATCTCATCTCTTGTCTCTTGAGAAAAGCTAGACCAATAGGGCTAATTTATTTTTGCTTGTAGGTACCCTTATGGTTTAAAAAAAAAAAATTTGAAAAGTTGCCCGAAAAATGTGCTCGCACAAGGATTTTAAGATTTACGATGGAAATCGAAAATACCTTTTTGTGTATAAATGGTAGCCAATGGCTACACATCTTACAAATTATAATATTAATATAAAAGAAATAATTAGTGAAAATTAATATTTTTGTACATACCTATACAAAACATGATTATCGGTTGCCATTTCACTAGGGCAGATGAGATAAGAGCATGTATCAAAATATCAAATAGTCACGTTTATGGACTCAAATAAAGAAATTACCTTTCCTATATCAAAACATATATTATGAGTGTTGCAAGTGTTGATGGTATATTCGTAATTTCTTCTTCTTCTTGTGGAGTTCGGCCTTTAAGACCATCCCTTCTAACAAATTTATCGCCATCTTTCCCTATCCCCAACATCTTTTTTGATTCAATCCTCCCATCGGAAACGCGGTATACCTAGGTAGGTAATGGTATAGTTTCCCAATTGGATCTTCTTTAATAACCCCCTCGATAACCGAGCCCTCTTTCCTCCAAGCTTTACCAGCCCTCATTAATCTTTTTCTCGTAGTTTTTGCCATGATATAAGTTCTTAAATTCTTCATTTTGTGCCTTGGGGTATCCTCTATTCCCCAGTGTCAGATACATGGCCCATAAATTATTTTTAAAATTTTTCTCTAGAACACTGCAAGTGATATTTCGTCCACCTTTCTCAGTTTTAATGCTTCAGAAATATACAACACTGCTGGCCAAATCATGTACCTACAATTGAATTTTTAATTTTTTAATAAATCTTGAGCAAAATATGGCTTTCCTTGGCCAAAAAACACCTATTTCCAATTTTTATTCTATAGTGCCCACCTTCATCTTAAATTCTTAAGATCATTATGTTGCGTTATTATAGATCCTAGGAATTTAAAAAGTTATACTCTCTTAATATGTGTAGCTTATATAGCTCATATAGGTACACAACAACTAGGTACTTAACCGATTTTGTGAAAATTTGATATTGTGCTTGGAGAAATCAGAATCATATACTCGTAGACATCATACTGGTATAGCTTATACGGCCATATCTCAAGTTTTATTTTTTAAGTGAGCACCAAAATATGGGCCAAAAGACTCCCATAAATTTGTTACACCAAATTGTTGGAATTTGGAAGTATTATCATGACAACGACATCGCATTCCAGAACTTGGGAGATGTGTTGCTTAAATTATACACTACATTTTAATTTAATTAATTATCATATATATGATGTGTAAAACTGATAATATTATGATTATGAAACAAAATTTCATAATCAATCAATACAGTCTTAAATCTCGTATAAATAAAGTTTGGCAAAAATAATTTAGATAACTGCAAGATGTTAATAATATATTTGTTATTTTTCTATGAATTACCAGATCAGTTTAAAATCATTTTCTGTTCAATTCATTTAATTTGAACACAATGTCTACAGTGATCCGAATCATCTATTTACAAGATAAGCATGTGATTTTTTTAATTCAACAACTTAAACTGATTGAGATAATAATATACATGTACAATTACTAAAGCATTAAAGCAAAAATGTACATTACTTTCAACATTCTATTTTATTTATTACAAAATAAATATGTACAATTTTGTTGTATCACAATTCTTATTTATTAATAGATAGGTACACAAAATATATACAATCTTTTATATCATATTATATACAAGGTATTTACATATTATATTTCAATTGTTCTATAATGTAGCTAAAATTCTTGTAAAACCTACAGCTGCTGAGAGTAATGTCTGTCCTACTCCCCAAAACATTGCATACAACGGTTGCATTTGAATACTAGATGCTCGATAGACAAACGCTATGGTAGCACTGCTGACTATGCCTGAACTAAGTGGAGCAAATATTCCAACCAATAGAATGAACAATGGAAAAAACCTAGAACATAAACAAATGAGTAATACAAATAACATAATAACAAAATAGTAATATGTAACCTTAAAACATTTACGAGTAAATATTATGAAACAAATTTAAAATTTAAAAAAACTGTGAAAAATGATAAAAAAGAAAAAATAGATGATAAATCAAGTTTGGTGTTGGTAATATGTGGCTCTTTAAATAAACATCTTTTAAGGCTATACCAAACTTATTAGTGCATTTCTTTTGTAGGTTACTTATTTCTTAAAATGCATCTAGAATAGTACAGGAAAAATAACACATTTGTATATTTTATAGTTTTTATTACATCTATATTCAAATATTAATTGTTTCAAGGGAGTTGAGTAGAGAATGTAGTAAGCAGTGTCGTGCTAAGTAAGATTGACGGCCCAGGGCAATAATATTGGATGATCCTATTCAACATACATACTCAAACCACAAAAATTGCTCAATGTGCTTTGGTACCCCTAAAGTTGATGGCACCCTAATACACTTTCATCATTTGCCCCCTCTCCTTCGGCATGGCCCTGGAGGTCAAATTGAATTTCCACCACTCATCAAAGTATGAATTCAGCTATGAAACTCTCAAGTCACTAATCAAATGTTATATGTATGTCATTGCTAGGAAGTAGGTTTGGAGGCACAGTCATTGTATATATAATAATATTTAAGACTCAATTTAGAACAAAAAAAAAAAATAATAAAAATGAAAACAAAATATTATCTTACTTTCCAAAATTATGTTTATGGAGTGTAGCAAAAGCAATTATCGCAGCTACAGTATGGACAATAGCAGATGAGAATAAGGCCCATAAAAAAGTTTGATACCACATTTCTGAAAATTGTTAGCAAAAAAATCAATATATTTTTATATTGTGATATCAATTAATATTTTTATGGATTACCAGGAAATGTACTAAGAGGGCGTTGAGATGCCAAACCAATAACGTTGGATATCGGAACTAGTTCAGGATTCTTGAAATCGTTGAGTGGCATCATTTTTCAAATACAATCGTTCATGTGAAGAAAGAAAACCCTTTTAAGCCATTTAATAGTGTTGGTAGATTATACAATATAAAGTTTTTACTGAATGTTTTGTAATATTATTTTACTAACAGTCAAAGGACTAAGAATTAAACATTAAATTTTAACACTGGTGCGTGTATCAGTTGTTAAAACTACAGTTATTTGTTTAAATTTTGATAATTTAACTTAAAATTAACTTTAAAGTTAAAACTCCATCGATTCATTTTTTACTTATCATCACGGTTAAAGATACTATATCAGCAAACCGTGCTTATCATTGTTTTTGTTTTTGAATGATAAAAATTGTATCAAAATCCTAATCGGGATAAGCGAATAACCTTATGCTTATCCGTTATCGAGTATCGACACAACTTAAATAGTTAAATCACCATCGTTATTCGTTCTGTGCTAACGTGCTAATAACTATACCTAGGTACTGCAATAAGTACTCAATACCTATTTCATACTCAGTATATTTTATTTTAATATTGTGTACTATTTTGTTATTTAATACAATTTAATTGAACTGCTTAACAGGGTAGACAACTACTTTGGAATTACATCATGGATTCTCAGGACTATTCCGACAGCAGTGATGAAAATGATTCAGACTACAAACCACCAGGTATTAATTATTAGCATCCTAATGAAATAATATTTTATTATTATAACTAGCCAACTAGATAGTTTAAAATTCATTTATTATCATTATAATATATACACAATTAGTACAATCACAGTACCTAATGCTTGGTCTATTATGAAGAAAATATTAAATAAGTCCTCAAATGTATTAATAATGATGAATTTCTAAGGACTAAACAACATAATAGGTACAATATTTTATTATCAAAATACATGATTTAGTTTTAAAAATTATATACTTTGGTTTAAACTGTTTATTGTTATTATGTTTATCAATTTATTTTAAATATTTGTTTCATATTTATCTCTAGGCGAAGATGAAAAATTATCAGAAGTTGATTCAGATGATCCAATTGAAGATGACGAGGATAGCGTCAGTACATCTGCTAAAAAATCAAAGAGAACTAAAAAGAAACCAATGACTAAGATGGGAAAAAGAGGCTCACTAAAAAAATCAAAAAAAGTGTAATACTTAATTGTTTTTAAGTTTTAAATATTGAATCATGTTTATTTTGTTTACTTTTACAGAGTAATTGATGATGAAACTATTGAAAAAACAAAAGAAGAAGTAAATACTCTTCTTAACTCCTCTGAAGATGATAAAAAGCGTTTGGATGCTTTGTGGGAAGGTAATAATTAATCTCATATCAATAATTAGTATTTAAAACAAAACAAAATATTTTAAAAATTATAATTTATAAAATATAAGGTATAAGAACTAAAATATTTTAACAAATTTCTATTTTATTTTTAGAATTTCAACGACCTATTCCAAAAAAATCTTCCAATACACCTATCACCAGTGAAAATAAAGCCAAATCAAAAGAATCTATAAAAGTATCTGATAAACCAGAAACAACTAAAAAAAGAAACTTTGAATCATTATTTGACAGCTCTGACTCATCTAAAAAGTAAATACATTTATATTTTTTTATTATTCAACTTTTTAATTAAATTTAATTGCTTTACCTTAATAACCCTGAAAAATTTATCAGTACTATTGTAAAACTAAAGTGCATTTAGTTGAAGGCGCGAAAAATGAAAGCTGAGCCTCATGGCTTGTAGTTTGTGCTCCGCTACATTAATTTATAAAATGTAAGGTAGCCTTTCTATAAAAAAAATTAAATATAATAACACCCATATTATCTATAAATAATTTAATAATTAAAAATATTTATTAGTTTATGATTTGGTTAACATCATCGAAAAATGCCGCTTGGTGGATGACTGGCAACTCTCATTTTTGATAGTACATAAAAAATAACATCCGACAATCATATATTATATGATGTACAAAAAATCTTTGTTTGTCAAATACTGTAACAATATTCTGAAGAGGTATTCAAACTGTCCATCGCGGCTCCAAATGGTGTCACGAGTATTTTGTAAGGGAGCCATAGGACTGCAGATGAAAAAAATAACGATTATTATATTATTTCTAAAAGTAAAACATTTAATTTAAATTATTTATGCATAATTTAACATTAAAACATTTTTTTCCTGTTCTTAATAATTATTAATTTGTGCAAATGTTGTTAAAAGTTTGTAAAAAATAATTAATAATTATTGAAGCTTCATCTAATCACATACATTTACTTATATTCACAAGTTTTTATTTTTGTACTTCTTGGTTTATATAGAAAATATTGATCTCTAGGTACATTTTTTAATACTTATAGTTTTTTTATAGTTGATTTACTTAGTTTATTTCAAAGTTTATATTGCATTTAAATTAACAAAGAATATAATATAAAATTGTATTATTTAATTGTGAATAGTAACATTAAATTGCAATACATTTATGAAAAATGTAAAAGCATTCATTAGTTACTATAAATAAACTCAATTTTTATTATGATTATTTTGTTTAAACGTTTTTGTTTTTCAGGGTGGATAATAATGACGACAATTCAAATACACCTAAGTCTCCAGAAACTAAAAGTGCGGCAGCCCCTATTGCTACAAAATCATCAGGTGGTTTAGCAAATATTTTGAGTCAAATAGGAAAAAAAAGTAAACTGACGGTTTTAGAAAAATCCAAACAAGATTGGGATGGTTACAAAAAAAAAGAAGGAATTGTTGAAGAATTAGTCACACACAATAAAGGAAAAGATGGGTTGGTGTTTAAATATTTTGTTAATTGTAAAACTTTTAAAATATTATTTAATGGGTTATATTGTTGTTCTAGGTACTTAGAAAAGCAAGACTTTTTAGAACGGACAGATTTACGACAATTTGAATTGGAAAAAGCAATGAGAGCTGCCAATAGATCACACAGAAGTTAAACATGGTATCATTCATTTTATATTATGTCAATAATCCCTACTATTTAAATAATTGGTTGTAAACTTTTAAATTGTATTAAATTTAAATTAATATACTTTTTTTTTAAATTCTTCTAAGTAAATTATTATTAGTTAATTTTATATGACACTAGGTAGTTAAAAATGTATTGTCTGTATTTATAAATTAGTTTATTATATACAAACAACTGAATTGAAAAAAAAATACATTGTAGAATATTTGAAGACAATTGATACATAATAAACCTCCAAACTTAATATGTTTATAATTTTTTTTATGTAATTTAGTATTCATAACAATTATTTTTAATAAATATTACATACTAAGGAGTCTACTTTTAAAATATATATAAGGTTTTTAATTGAAATTCCACATTAATGACATTACAATTTAGTATTTACAATTATTTATAACTTCCTCATTTCAAAAAATAGATAACTTTGAGCTTGTAAAATAAAAATGTAGACACTTCATTCTAGCTATCACTAGATATTGCTTGAAGAAACCAGTTATTATAATTTAACCTTACAATAAATTGATTTGGTTTTGGAGTCACATGAATTTCTCGAATTATATTTATTAATGAAACTAATTTATTCGGTTTTTTGGTAAAAAATAAGTGTAACTCATCAAAACATTGTTTATATTGTGGATTTAGAGCAGCAGTAATATCAGTTATATACCTATAATAGTTTTCGCACATATCTAAAATTCTATTAAAGCCCAAGTAAACTTCTTCCATGAACAAAAATGAATCTCTCATGATATTTGTCTGGAATATATCGTGTATATGTTTGATTGTTTGAAAATCATTGGCATTGGTTAATTTCTCCAAGAGAAGAAAATATTCATCTTCAATGACATCCAACTGAAGATAACTATAGAGGGTATCTATTAAGAATGATAAGTTAGTTTTCAGCTGGACGTTATGAGCATTTATTTCATAAGACTTTGATTTTTTTTCAATCCAAATTTTGTGCAAATTTGTTTGCACTCTTTTGATCCGTGATAAAAATGCAAACAATTTTGAATAATTTTCTTGAACAGAACTGGTAAATATAAATTGTAATGGCCATTTGGTTTCAAAAGTGACTTTAATTTTTGTCCATGTTGTTTCATTAGCTTCTTCATCTTCTAATGAACTGAAACCAAACACTTGATTCATAGATTTGTGCATTTTAATGTCTTGAGCTGTATTAATAAATGCCACTTTAACAGCACGTAAGCTATGCTCAGATTTCTGAGATAAACTGCTCATTTTATTTAAAAAATGCTTATAAAACTCCCCATTACCCAGCAAATAAAAATCTCTTACCAATTTCATATGATAGGCAAAACTATCATTATTAAACGATGCTTTTAACATATATTCATCCACAACATTATAAAACTTATCAATTACTTGAACAAATTCATTTTTAGTAAACAAAGGCACGTTTACTAAATTTAGTAGATCAGAAAACAGTTCATCTTTTTTGTGTCCATACAACTGTATAGAAATATCCTTGTAATTTATCAATGACGATTGGTCATTTGAATGTTGTAAACTCTTAATAACATCACCAATTCTTGTTATTTTGCTTGCAGTTGAAAGAGGAATAAAAGATGGCATTAAACTGGGTAATAAGGAAAACTGTTTAAATTCTTTTTTGCTTTTAGAATATTTGGTTTCAATGAAGAACTCATTGTGAGGATCAAAAATTATTCCGTGTGCGAAAAATGTGTTCAACTGTGATATTAATACCTAAAATAAATTAAATATCATATAAAAAAAAAATCAATGATAAATGAAGATAATAAATAATTTACATCTTAATTAAATTGTAGTTTTAAATTTTACCATATTTAAAAATGTTGATTGTAAACTAATATAAACCCTACTTTTTACTGTACAGATATGTTCTTAGTTCTTTGACTTCACTCAAGCGTTCAACCTTGTTTGACATAAGGGCTTTCAATGCTTTCATCATAAAATGTGTTTGTTTAGTTTAATGCCCCATTATTTCTTATAATCAAATTTATTTATCCAATCTTTTTCATCATACCGCAAAGTTTAACTGTTCCATCTCCATTAATTAAAAGCAAGTGTCCCACAGGATAGCACTTTAGCTCCAACTTTGTACAGCCTATTCACCTATGTTATTCGCCATTCATTCTGGGTTTATTTCATTTACTGCCATCATAAATTACTTACTTCAACTCACCTAAAGGAAATACAAAACTTGCTCAGTTTTTAGAGAAATACAATAAATGCAAGCAAATCAGCCCACATAATTTTTTCTCTACGTCTTTCATTACCAACCATCAAATTTTAGACAACAATGACATAATTTCTCAACAAATAGTTACCAGATACATAGATCCACCTAAACAAAAGATTCATATACTTCAACCACATAAAAACAAAATCTCTAAGCAGTCAGCATAAGATATCACAAACTCCAACACCTTAAATTCAATACCTAACGAACAACCTCCCCGGGGAAGAGTGATGATCTGCAGTATCCAACTATGGTCTGAAGCCAAAATATCAAACATCAATATCTTTTAGTCCTCCTTAATAAAATACCTATGTTTTATCATCAATGCTCCTTTACCTCCTGTTGCAACTTATTTTCACATACCAACCTTAAAATTTAAAAAATATCTGCACTTAAAGCATACTATTATCTAATATTTCATACAATACTTAAAATCATCAGAACCTATTTACATACAACCTGCTCTTTCTAACAATCAAACTCATTGGCTTAAAAGGATACTATACGGGCATGTGTTGTTTCCACCTTACAACCGCATAACTAGCAAATTGTACGTTCTGCATAATCTCTGTACCTAATTCAATCATGTAATATGTTTAATATTACAGTGAATTAAGGCGAATTAGAAGTATTTTAAAATATACAAACAAATAACAATTTTAAAATGATCATAATTCATTAAAAAAAAAAATCAAGATTCACTAGATAATATTGTTTCTTTTTAAATAAACTTAGCAGAGTTAAAATCTTAAATGGATAATTTAGAACATTCACTTTGGTATAGGTATTGAGTTGGTAAGACAGACACAATGCATACAGGTGTAGCGTCATCTTAAGCACAAATGGCTTAGAGACCTCAATGACTAAACCCATCTTTCCAAAACAATGACATAATACATAAATATCTATACTGAAGAAAAAATAATAACATTTGTAGTATGAATGGACACCGTCTTCAAATCAAGTTTCGTACACGTATCGTTAATTGAAAATAATTGTTGTACTTAGTGTAAATTACATAGATTGTAAATATTTTCATTATAATTGGAAAAAAATGATGGATAAGTATAAGATAAATTAGGTATGTGGAAAAATGTTTACATACGATTATAAATTTATCATATAGGTATAATATTACCTGTAAACATTGATTGAATATGAGTGATAATTGAACTTTTTTATCCAAAAATTCCATACAGACTACTTCATGTATGAGATTCAATATTTGTCCACCATGTAACTGAGAAAGTTCAATTTGATCTAAAATATTATTAACTGCCACAATCAATGGTTTGTGTTGTTCGACTTTCCTCAATGTTTCGGCCAATAAACATTTGTTTTCTTTGTTATTTGATAAATCTTTTTCAATGTCATTTATACAGTTGCGATATGGTCTCAAGGCGATTAACATACCGTTGACAAAAGCTTCGAAGTACAACCCTCGTCTGTTTGATTCTGATTCTGTATAAACATTCTGCAATCGGTTACAGGATATAATAACAGTATTAAGTTTCTGATATTCTTCGGCCAATTGTAAGAAACACTTCAACAGCTGCTTGTCTTCAGTGTTCAAAATTATATACTCATCATCGGTGAAATTGCTGTCATTGTCAACAATACACTGTAATATTTCTGATTTGTGGCCAAGTAGAGTAAACAATATATCAGGAATTAAACATTCCATTGTAGTTGTTATACCTTGGACAGCTACAATATTGTACAATTTGGGCTATATTAATTTGTCAGCATAGGTACAAATGTATGATTGAATATTGTACAATGAGAATTGCTCAATATTATTCAGTTATTAATAAAAAGGTGGAAGTTCGTTGTTTATAATATTTATAAATCATAATTAAAGCAACATTTTTAAATTTTAAATACAGTTATACATTTAAAAAAAACTTTCATGAATAAGACTATAAGAGCTCACAAGTGATAAATGATAAAAGGTTATCAAGAAACAGATTTCAAATGATAACAATATTTACAAAAATTAGTCACTTGCTCACTTGGTTATTTACAAGGTACCTACTACTTAGTACCTACCTATAGTTGTGCTATAGTAATAATGAAGACTAGAATCAAATAATATGCCGTGTATAATGTAGAGTATTCGTAAGAATATTTAATATAAATTAGTATAGACTAATATAGACTAGTCTTTATGGTAGTTATACAATGTAATATACATATTATTATCGCATATTTGCATTCACAAAATGTTGTGTTTGAAAAATATGTTCAAAAAGGACAAAAGGGATGAATTTCTACCCATAAACTCATACGTTGCAAGATACCATATATTGACTCTAGCACCACTGGAACTGGAGTCTGGAAGTACACCAAAAATGTGCACTTTTTTGTACAAACATTTTTTTCTTGCCCTCAGATAAAACATTATCGTCAAAAATATGGTACTTAGCCAATATAAATTATTATGTCTGCTAAAAAGTATTTATTGAGTTTCAATAATCTACTCATAATGACAAGTATATAACCCCATTGTAATGGTACGAGGAACCCCTATATCCATGATTAATCTTGCTATTCGTGCCAATCTAAAAAGTAAAATATTACCACGGAATAACCAGTTATATTTATTTAATTATATTTTTGCTATGGCAGTAATGCAGTATAGTAGACAATATTGAGTATGGATAAGTATATCTTTTAGTACTTAACGGTACATCACTACATCGTATATCTGTGTCTTAAATTATTTTAAAATCATGTTCATGTTAAGAGAAATTTTCCTCACTATAATATATTGCTAAAAATTGTAATTTTTTTTGAAAACAGAAAACTGTCAACATAATACCCTGGAGGCACGACAACCAATAATACATTCCAGGCTAGTTAAAGGTAAGATTTCGTTTTTTAATATTATGTTAGTTATGTACTTATGTGTATAAAGTATATAATATTATATAATATTCGATATATTTAATAACCTAGAACAAATAATACAACTATTAATTACCTAATATCTGTAACC